ATATATGGCAAACATTCAATGCTGATTATACAATGACAAGACAGACAACAGATAGAGGTATATATATTGGTTTTCCCATCTTTTAGCGTCTTTGGATGCTGTGCTCGGTTCCAGCCACAGGGGGTGCTGTTGCTCCATCTCCTTGCTGGTTACATTTAAAGGAACCTTTTCGAAACAAGCCAAGTGCCTGGCATACTTTGACAATTTTCAATGTGAAGGTAAGATGATAAGTACTTTGCTGGATCAGAAAAAGGTATATTTTGTCCAAGCACTGTGTTTCAAATAGTGGTGAGTTAGCCTGAGATGGTCTTCTCTTTCTATTTGTTATCAGCACCAGTGTTCCAAGGCATATTCTGTCTGTATTTAAATATATTATAATCTATTATGACAAGTAGCTGTTCATGCAACCCCCAGTCTCAATCACTATTATCATATGTCAGCTTTGAGACCCATACTGGGATAAACAAACAAAAAAAACCCCAAACAAACAAATTGTGTTTTCCCCCAAAATCATCTATCAGGAGCTGTTTGTTTGTTTGTTTACAAAATTTGTATTCTGCCCTTCTCACCCCTAAGAGGTCTCAGGGTGGATCACAGAATATATATATGGCAAACATTCAATGCTGATTGTACAGTGACAAGACAGACAACAAATAGAGGTATATATATATATATAGCATTCCTGTCTTTCAGCATCCTTGGAGGCTGTGCTCGGTTCCGGCCACAAGGGGTGCTATTGCTCCATCTCCTTGCCGAAAAGCTTACCTACAAGAGTCGTCCTAACATTAGGGAGGGTAGGGCAGCAGTGGGTGAAAATAATAAAAGCAGCAAAGTATTAGTAATTTTATTATTGTATTATTATTGGGTTTTTTCCCCCACCACATATTGGGAGATGCCTTCATGGTGTATTTTGCTTCATGTATATGCTGCAGTGAAACACCATGGATCAATCCTACTGACTGTTGTATGAAATGAATTTGGTTATTATATTTGAGAATAAGCCCTTCCTTGTATTCATCTCAAAGCTAGTGTCCAAACATCAGCAATTACTTCTTTATAGAAACTATTTCAGGCTGTGTTTAGTCTTGCAAGAACAGAGGTGATATGCAATTGGCAATAGTATTAATCCATTTAAATCCATTTTCCCTATGGTCTTAAGAGCAAGATTTACAGTTTTCTCTTGAGGATTAATTACATCTGCAGACCTACTAACTTAATGGCCAAAAATGCAATACCAAATGTACCACATTTCCCAAATGAACTCAGTAAAGAATACCCTCTGGGTACTCAGAGATGATTTCTACATTTCTGTTCCACAAAGAAAAACACAATATGGTGAATGTTGTCCTGGGAGAATGAGGTACAAATCCCTGTTCATCCATGGGACGTGCTGAATAAACCTGGGTTATTTTTCAACCTCACTTCCCTAATTGTTGAGAAAATACATTGTCACCAGTGGGATTTTTGTCTCTTGAGTTTCCCAGAAGGATAAAATCAGGAGATATTTTGAGGTTTGTATCGGAGATCCTTATCACACTAAAGAATGAATCCACTTAAAATCCAGTTTTTGCCTCCTGCAGAATTATGGGGTTTGTAGTTTAGAGAGGAGTCTTTAACAGCCTCACTAAACTACAAAAACCAGAATTCTGCATGAGGCAGAAACCAGATTTTAAGTGGATTTATTTTCTAGTATGATGAAGTAGTGAGTTCACTTTTCTCCTTCCCCATTTGAAGAGCCCCAGCTTTCTATGGAGTTTTATTTGCTTAAGGTATTCATTCACCCTATTTGACTTCTTTTAAGGACACCAAAGGTCAGAAAAGAGTCATGCCTGTTTGTTTTAATGTTCTGCTTTGCCACACTCTCCAGGACAAATTTATTTCAGATTCCTTTTGTCTAAAATATAAAAGAATTCATGAATATTGATAAATCTAAAGCATATGTCCCCTGCCACAAAGCAGATGAATTCTGGAATCCTTGTCAGAGATGTCAACAGCTTTTTGGGACATGAAATGGGTTGTTTTGTAGTTTAGGCTTTCATCTGGCAATTCAAGGCCATAGTTGGGAGGAGACAGGCTTTTCTGCTAGCAACATGTACACTTCTCATAGATCTTTGGATGGAAGATGGGTCATACCTATGCAATTTGTTTTTCTTCTTCTTCTGGGATCTATTTTTAAATGACACAGGGCCCTTCCACACAGCCCTATATCCTAGAATATCAAGGAAGGAAATCCCACATTATAACGGGAGCAGCGCTCAGGGGGCATATGACTCCAATGTTGCGCCAGCTCCACTGGCTCCCAATTTGCTACCAGGCATAATTCAAAGTGCTGGATTTAGCCTATAAAGCCCTAAATGATTCCGGCCCAACTTACTTATCTGAACGTGTCTCCCCTTATGGACCTTCCAGGAATTTAGGATCATCTGAGGAGGCCTTGCTCTTGATCCTGCCTGCCTCACAGGCGTGCTTGGCAGAGACGAGGGACAGAGTCTTCTCAGTGGTGGCCCCTCGGCTGTGGAACTCCCTTCCTGGAGATATTAGATCGGCTCCCTCCCTCCAGACCTTTAGGAAAAGAGTAAAAACCTGGCTCTTGGAGCAAGATTTTGGAACCTCGTTGAAACCAGATAAACTCAGTATTGTGAACGAATATGGAACGCTTAACAATGCAAATGGACATGGATTTAAACCTGAAAGTCATCGATTTTTATAGTTTTAAATTGTTTTTATATGAATTTTATTATGTGATTTAACCTGTTGTAAACAATGTATTTATGTGTGTTCGGCATCTAATTGTTGCCAGTCTGTACACCGACTGAAAAGGTTGTGATAAAAGTGTGGTAAATAAATAAATAAATAAATAAATAATAAATTATCTGAGTGTGGACTCAGATAACCCAGTTCAAAGCAGATATTGTGGGATTTCTGCCTTATATTCTGAAACATAGGGCTGTGTAGAAGAGCCCCTACTATCGGGCCCTTCCACACAGCTCTATATCCCAGAATATCAAGGCAGAAAATCCCACACTATCTGCTTTGAACTGGAATATATGGCGGTGTGGACTCAGATAACCCAGTTCAAAGCAGATATTGTGGGTTTTTCTGCCTTGATATTCTTGGATATAGGGCTGTATGAGAGGGCCCCTGCTATCAAGACACAAGGATGTGGAGCATTGGCCTTGGTCTGAGTGGAATTCATAGTTGTAGGACCCAATTTTGCCATTTGTTGTTGGAACCCATTGGCTAAAGGTCTGGGCTGTTTTTCCTCTGCTGCATCGTTTTCACTTGTTACATCATTTACTATCAATATAGCGTATCCTACAGCAGTGATGTGTCTCTGTTTTCAGTATCAAATGCAGTCTTGAAAGATCTAGAATTGCCGTCAATTCCAGCTCAGAGTAAGTTCTTATAGAAAGCAGCCAAATTAAATTATCTTATCTTTGTATTGACCAATGGGAACAATCCTGTCTGCTATGGAAATGATCATGTTGTACTTGACCGCCCACCTCCCATTTAGCTATCAAAGAGAAGAAGCCAGTCAGCATGTTTGCAGTTGAATATTCAGAGAATCAAAGCCAGATTTCTAATATCTAAAAACAACCGAAGCTCTATGCCTAAATAGCTGAAAGTTTCACATCTTCCATAATTTAGTTTTTAAAAAAATCTCAACTTCTTTCTGCTGAATTTATGAAGATATGTCAAGATTTTAGAACATTTATAGTCAATCCTTTCCCATAAAAACAATTCTCATTTATCCCTCTTCAAGAAGCAAAGCTGTAAATCAGTGGTTCTCAACCTTCCTAATGCCGTAACCCCTTCATATAGTTCCTCATGTTTTGGTGACCCCCAACCATAACATTATTTTCATTGCTACTTCATAACTGTAATTTTGCTACTGTTATGAATCATAAATATCTGATATGCAGGATGTATTTTCATTCACTGGACCAAATTTGGCACAAATACCTGATATGCCCACACCTGAATACTGGTGGGATTGGGGAGGGGGCAGGGGTAAATTTTGTCATTTGGGAGTTAAGGTTGCCCGGATTTATAGTTCACCTACAATCAAAAAGCATTCTGAACCCCCATGACCAACAGAAAATACTGGAAGGGTTTGGTGGGCATTGAACTTGCGTTTTGGAGTTGTAGTTCACCTACATCCAGAGAGCACGGTGAACTCAAACAATGATAGATCTGGACCAAACTTGGCAAGAATACTCAATATGCCCAAAAGCGAACACTGGTGGAGTTTGAGGAAAATAAACCTTGACATTTGATAGTTGTAGTTGTTGAGATTTATAGTTCACCTACAATCAAAGAGCATTCTGAACCCCACCAACGATAGAATTGGGCCAAACTTCTCACACAGAATCCCCATGACCAATAAAAAATACTGTGTTTTGATGGTCTTTGGTGACCCCTTTGGCACCCCCTTACGACCCTCCCCCAGGGGTCCCGACCTCCAGGTTGAAAAACGCTGCTGTAAATGATTTGTCACCTCACTGACAACTTACAAAACTGAACAAAGCATTAGACACTATAGAATTAGGAGCCGTGGTGGTGCAATGGGCTAAACCTTTGTGCCGGCTGATCTGCTAACCTGAAGGTTAGCGGTTCAAATCCGTGAGATGAGGTGTGCTCCCATCTGTCAGACCCTGCTCCCATGTGAGGACATGAGAGAAGCCTCCCACACAATAGTAACACATTTCGACATGCCCTGGGCAGACAGCCGATTCTCTCACACCAGAAGTGACTTGCAGTTTCTCAAGTCACTTCTGACATGATAAAAAAATCCTACAGAATTGAGCAAAACTGGCTTTCTTGATCTCAGGTTTGCAGATGCTGTTGGAGAGTAACTCCCAGCATCTACACTCAATAGCTAGGGGTCCATGGTTGCCAGGGGCTGTACTAAGCAAACTGAAGACCAGACTCAATATAAGACAGATGAATCGGTACAAGTTATTATTATTATCCTCAAAAAACATGCTCAAAAGGAGGCATTACACTGATGAGTAATATTTTATTTCATTAAAATATATCAGAAGCTTATCATGTAAAACAATTAGGGTTCGCAATAATTTATTACTATTTACATTAGCAAATTCTTTTTTAAGAATTATTATACAAAGGAATACTGAGAGGTTCACAGGAGGAAGAGATGTACCATTCTTGGGCCCCAGGAACAACAGGTAGTTTGGAATGTATTCAATTCCTATGCATCACTTCTGGCAATTATACTCACCTTAAGGTAGCCATACTGCTAAATCTCTTTTGTAACAGTTGACCTGCCTTTTCTTTCTTTCCAGGGAAAAACAGTTAGGTGTGAATGCTGAAATTCTGTGTTTGAGACACCTCACTTTGCTAACAGTCTCCAAGAGTCCCAAGTGGGCTGAGGTCTATAGTGTCAATGTGCTTTAAGTTAACAGGAGCTGTGGTGGTGCAATGGGTTAAACCCTGGTGCTGGCTGAACTGCTGACTTGAAGGTCAGTGGTTCAAATTTGGGGAGCAGGGTGAGCTCCTGTCTGTCAGCTCCAGCTTCCCATGCAAAGGCATGAGAGAAGCTTCCCACAGGATGGTAACATAGCCGGGCATTCCCTGGGCAACATCTCTGCAGACAGCCAATTCTCTCACACTAGAAGCAACTTGAAGTTTCTCAATTTGCTTCTGACAATATATTTTTAAAAAGTCGTAACTATGATGAGTGAGCTCTGAAAACAGGTATTTCGATATCCTATGAATTGGAGCCAAAACCCAACCACTCGGTAGCAGTCTTCTTTCACAGTTATGTCAACTGCTTCCTATTACCAGAATGTTCTCATGTCACACTATTTATTACACATTATTACAGTTGCAGAGCCAGTACAGTTAAGCCTCCATATCCACTGATTCTGAAACCAGGGCTTGTGTGTGTGTGTGTGTGTAAACCCTAATCATGCATTTTATATAAGGGCCGTCATTCGATTGTTCCATTGTATATAATGGAACTTGAGCATCCATGGAATTTGGTATCCACAGGTGGTCCTGGTAGCAAACCCCAGCAGATACAAGGACCCACTGTACTCTTTCTCCATCTATGTTTCCTGTCTAGGAATCTGGCCTCTCTCCCACTTCGCACAAGGACTACTCACTCTTTTCTCCTTTGCTGTGGCCAGGATGAAGAGCTGCAGACATCAGAAGCCAAGATAAACTTCTGGCTTTTCCTAGCTATGCATACTCATTCACATGTTATAGTTTCTCCTTCTCAATGCACCATGAGTGGTTACAAGGAACCATGACATTCAAGCTTCTCCCAGGTGTGCAGCTCTTAAAGCACAATGTGCTTGTTCCATTAGGCCAGCCCTACCTTTAGGCAAAGTGGCTCTCTTGGAAAGCAGATTATGGGTGGCTTCATGTAGAATGGATGGAAAAAAGACAGGATAGGTCTCCTGTATCTTTAGTGTTGTGTAGAAGGGAATTTCAGCAGGCATTGCTCAATACCTGGTTGTATCACAAGCAACATAGAATCCTAGAGTTGGAAGAGACCTCATGGGCCATGTAGTCCAACCTGCTGCCAAGAAGCAGGAAAATTGCAATCAAAGCACCCCCGACAGATGGTCATCCAGCATCTGTTTAAAGGCCTCCAAAGAAGGAGCCTCCACCACACTCTGGGGCAGAGAGTTCCACTGCTGAACAGCTCTCACAATCAGGAAGTTCTTCCTAATGTTCAGATAGAATCTCCTTTCTTGTAGTTTGAAGCCATTGTTCTGTGTCCTAGTCTCCAGGGCAGCAGAAAACAAGCTTGCTCCCTCCTCCTTATGACTTCCTCTCACATATTTATACATGGCTATCATGTCTCCTCTCAGCCTTCTCTTCTTCAGACTAAACATGCCCAGCTCTTTAAGCCGCTTCTCATAGGGCTTATTCTCCAGACCCTAGATCATTTTAGTTGCCCTTCTCTGGAAACATTCCAGCCTTTCAACATCTCCCTTCTATTGTGGTGCCCAGAACTGGACAGAGTATTCCAGGTGTGGTCTAACCAAACTCCTTCTTCTACACAACCATTAAAGCTAAGGATTCATCTTCAGTTTTCAAAACGGCAACCCTAAGTAGGAAAGGGGAGCAAATTGTAAATTCCATGCTTTGTTTTCCTATACTGATAGTGATGTGCGAGAGCTGCCTGTGTGATTTTCAGTCTTATGTAACAAAACAATAGTTTCATTGGCTTTCACAGCTATGCATCTTGACTGGGGAGAGGGCATTTGATGATCTATCTCAGACAGCATAATATTTGGGACCAGCCCCATTTTTAATCTATCTTACAATGCAAACTAAGAACTAGCTTGAGCAACATGATGGCACATAGTTTCACAGTCCTTATAGGCATGTTCAAAGTCTATTTCTGTGCAACTCAGAAGTGTGAATGATAGGCCATAGAGGGATTACTGCCATGTTCCAAATTTAGCAAATGAACATATTCTCCATGTTCTCCAGGGCTGCTGCATTAATGTTCAGGGCTGGCTGTTCCTTCAGGCACAGTGTAGTTCTGACCTAAAGCAGCACATTATAGGTGTCATAAAAGACCAGCAATTTCTTGGTTATTTAGTATCTTATTTTACTGCCAGCGATGGGAAGAGGCACTTTTTAATGTTTCTGGCTCTTCAGCTAGAACATTTTGGCTGGTTTTGAGTACTATGCACCTTGATTTTTGCCGAGAAAGGATTTATACACTGCCCTGCTTCAGGCAGCAAAATATCTTGGGTCAGTCCTGATATGTTTATGCTTTATTGCTATAAAAATCTATTTATTATGAGATGAAAGCATATGCTGCAGTTGCCACTGAAAATAATCCCTTCTAATACAAAGATCCTGCATGCCCTAATAGTAAGATGAAGAATTGCTTTTTTTAAAAAAAAATATTAAATTGGCACCTTCATGTTGTAAAACTATATGCTATGAACCTCCAGAGGATCTATACGAGCAAGATGGATGAGGAATGAGGGACTTTCCAGATGGCATTGGACTGCAGTTCCCACAATCCCTCACCATTGTTTAAGCTAGTTAGGACTGATGGGAGTTGTGATCCCACACCACTTGGAAGACCACATTATTCTCATTCCCACATTACAACCATGGAAGAGCTGTAGATGGGAAAAGTATGACACATAAGTCCTACATTCCAGCCCCTAGAGAACCTGTAACAATATTCTAGGAGTTGTAGTCCAAAAGAAGCAAGTTTCCAAGTTGTTGGGTTGTTGTAAGTTTTGCAGGCTACATGGCCATGTTCCAGAAGCATTCTCTCCTGACGTTTCACCTGCATCTGTGGCAGGCATCCTTAGAGGTTGTGAGGTCTCACAACCTCTGAGGATGCTTGCCACAGATGCCACAGATGCAGGCAAAACATCATACAGCATATTTGTGGAATTTCGAGGGTGGGATAAATATATATAAACCTCCCTTGCCTAGTTTCCAACAGACCTCACAACCTCTGAGGATGCCTGCCATAGATGTGAATGAAACGTCAGGAAAGAATGCTTCTGGAACATGGCCATACAGCCCAAAAAACTTACAACAACCCATTGATTCCGGTCATGAAAGCCTTCAACAATACATTTTTCAAAGTTATGCATGAGACAAAATCAATATGAAGGCAGGTACCCTTTCAGTGTACACAAAGTATTATGTTATTGTTGTTGAAGCTTCAAATATGATGTCATATGACAGGTTTATTACTTATAAACACAATAAAGAGGAACAACTTCTCTTAGTCATGGATAAATGTCCATATTCATTATCTAAGAGAAGTTGTTCCTCTATATTGTGTTTATAAGTAATAACCCTGTCATATGACATCATATTTGAAGTTTCAACAACAATAACATAATACTTTGTGTATCTCAGTAATAGATATCAGTGTTCTATATATTGCTACTCTTTCAGTGTAAACATTGCAAAACTGAAGCTGCAGCATTTCATAGTTGAGGATTGAAAAAGGGAATTATGACATTTTTAAAAAGCCAACTGAAATTTAGACAAAATATTTTAAAATTATCCCCCCCCCCCCCAACCATCTCAGGATGTAAGTTGTTTCCTTTCATTATTAGCATGATTACTATTTCAAGTGAAAAAGACAGGCCCTTAAATGATTAAATAAACCCCCTGCTTTAGAATAAGTTAAATCAAGCAATCCCATTAATGCGCTTATTTCCTGTAGGCACGTATGACGTAAGGCATCAGTTACTCCGGGTCTGTCTCAGCAAATGCACCACTGTGACAACTGTTACACATTGTCACTCTGAGGAATGGAGGGAAACACTGGTTTCTGAACACAGAAGGCCTTTCAATGAAAAAAAAGTGTCAAAAATCATTACAGGTCTCAGAGCACTTGAGAAAGAAGAAATGTGGATGGTCTTTGCAAATGTCACTGTACATCAGTAAGAACTGGAGCCACTGATTTTCGAATAATCAAAAGTCTGGTTAAGGTTATGCCCTTATATATTTGCAACATATTTCCTCCTGCAGGCTGTCCTTATTTCATTCCTTTTGGAATAACAGAAGTTCCTTTGTCCATCAGAAATGGATTGCATTCTTTTCAGATTCCCAGGGAAAAACCAAGCACCAATTCCAGCTTCAGGATGTATCTTTGTAGCTAGCCCTTTCCTGCCTTGCATCGCATTATCTTGAATCTGGGCATGACAAGTGCAAAGTTCTAGGGTGGCAAATGTCACCAAGGAAGACATCCGCCTGATGGCAGCCACCAAGCTTGCTAGACAGTCTTAGTCCAAAATATCAGTTTCAAACGGAACCAGGTGGTAATATGACAGGTTGGTAACATAAGCTGTTGGGTCATCGCTGTCCTCAAGCTCAGAGGTAAATTCACTAACTGTGTCAAACCTGGAAGGAGACAAAACAAAGAGAGGGTGTCATTCATGTATCTGCAGGCAATGATGTGCAATGATGCTTGGAATGGCTGGCGTGACTTTATTTATTTATTTATTTATTTATTTGATTCATTTATTAACCGCCATTCTCAGCCCTTACGGGCGACTCATGGCGGTGTACAGTACACATAAAAGACAGTTACAAAAGTCAGTATCTACAAACACATAGCTATACAAACAACTACAAACTACATAAAAATCCGCTTCGTCTCTTAGTAGAATCAAAGGCCAGTCTCATCGTCCTTATATCATTCCAGTTCTCATTACCATAATGTTACCATGATGTTGTTACTAGCACTTAATTAAATGCCCTCTCGAACAGCCAGGTTTTAAGGCTTTTTCGAAAGGACATGAGGGAGGGCGCCTGTCTAATGTTTGCCGGGAGAGTGTTCCACAGCCGGGGGGCCACCACCGAGAAGGCCCTCTCCCTCGTCCTCTCCCTAGTGATTATAATTTTTATATGTTTTAATGTGCATTTGAACTCTAATTTTAAATTTAAATTTTAATTTAAATGCATTTAATTGTTGCCTATAGGCATCAAATAGTTGCCATATGTAAAGCTGTCGCCTTCGGGGTAGAGAAAGGCGGGATGTAAATAGAGTAAACAAACAAATAAATATGTCTGAAAGACAGGGTGATGTATCTGAGATGGGATGTGTATGGGTAAAGAAGCAGAAGTGGCTCCAGGATCCACAGATCAAGGCAGGCCCGTAGCCAGGATTTTGATTAGGGGGGAGGGGGAGGGGCTGAGTTTGATTTGAGGGGGGGGCTGAGTCTGAGTGAAAGAGGGTCTACCCTAGCAAACCTTTTCTATCGTTAACCCTAATACCCCCATGCATATGGGATATATTGAGTATGGTGATCAGATCATGATATGAATAAACATAACAGTTTAAAAACATAACAGGGTCTCCAATCCCTGGTAATACAAAGTTGGGTTTTCTAGCGAAGGAAGGCATCAGTGGAACAGCCCTACAGAACTGTTATGGACCTGGACAATTAATCTGTCACCACTCCCTCTGACTTTTATCAATACAGAAAACAAACAATAACTGTGATCAAAGGATTTCCCCAGGACTCAATAGTGTTTTCAGTCTGACTTACACACTAATCAAGATAGAGTCGAATAAGTCCTATTAAGATATTCATGCTTGGAATAAACTTAAATATTTTAATTAAACTTCAGAGTTATACAGGCAACGTGAACATGTGCAATATCTAATGAATATGTTCTTCATCTAAGATGTTTGTGACCAGCACAGAATGTATACAGAGAGTGTTTGTTGGTTATGAGAATGTTCTCAAGGTCTGGCACTCTAGCCATAATATCAGATGAGGCGAAAATGGGCACATATGATCACAACTACAGCATTTCTAGCATAGCAGAAATAGAGCTCAGCAAAACAAAACAAGACATCAGTGAGAAGGCAGTTTTAGGAAAATTGAATTAAATCAACCAATTACAATAAACCAGCTAAATCTGTAATACTTATTTTACACCCACAGTATGACTTTCAGAATTCACCTCTGCTACATACCTAGATGTAGAGAAAGTTAAGTAATGTAACAATCCACAAAAATTTAGGTAACCAACCGTAAAAACGAACAAGACTGAATTACCAGAGCTATTATACATTTACTGAAATCATATTGGCTTAGTTATCTTAAAAATTATTGTCAGAAGCTTTCATGGCTGGAATCACTAGGTTCTTGTGGGGTTTTTCGGGCTATATGGCCAATATATGGCTATACTCACCTCTGAGGATGCTTGCCATAGATGCAGGCGAAACGTCAGGAGAAATGCCTCTAGAACATGGCCATATAGCCCGAAAAAACCCACAAGAACTTTAAAATTATTTATTATTATAGCTGAGCACCATAATTCAGGAAGAAAATTGACCTCCTGATGGTGAGAGCTGTTCAGCAATTGAATATACTAGACTAAAGTGTGATGCAGTCTCCTTTTTTGGAGAGTTTTAAGCAGCAGCTGGATGGTCATCTGTCGGAAGTGCTTTGACTGATTTTTCTGACATTGCAGGAGGTAGAACTGGATAGTCCTTGAGGTCTCGTTCAACTCTATAATATTGCCTTACTCCAATGAGTTCAAAATTATTTACCACAACTTTTCTCTTCTTCCCATAAGCATATAGGAATCTTTGTACACACCTGCAACTGCATATCACACTCTTGTAAATTGAACACTGTTGACAGGAACTATTGACTCTTTGCTACCAGAAATTAAAACTCAATTGTTAATTCAATATATTGTCACCTTTTTTGGTTCTAATATGTTTCTTCTTTCCTCTCTCCTTGTCTTCTGTCTTGGCAGATGAAGATTTCCATTTGTACACTGCAAACATTTAAATTCTTGAAGACGCTATTAAGTGGAGCTAATTAAAGTTATTTGAGTGACTCATCAATCATCTGCCACGACAGAATTTCTCAGGGATCTTCTACAATGAAAACCAGACTGTCAACACAGGTGTCTAGAAAACAGTATTTAACAATCAATTCTGGTTGCTATTTGTAAACGTGGTTCCGATTACAAACTCCTGTTCCTACAACAATAGGAAGAACACAGATCTGCACTTATCATCCCGCCTGACCCCGCTGTCTTCTAAGAACCTGGTGGTTCTATGTGAGTCTGAGGAGGGCTTTCAGTATATCGGCTCCCATCTATGGGGCACCATGCCTGATGAAAATAGGTAAATACGTGCCCAATTTAGTTTTGCTTTTGGCTGAAAATGTGTTTCAGACAAGATGTTTCTTTTTTCTTTTCATAAAGCCAGAGTCCTTTTTAGTATATTGTTTTATTAAGTGTCTAACTCACTACACACTGTTCTAAAATCAGGGGTATTGAGGAATTTATAAATTCTGAAAATAAATTGTCTATTGTGGAACAATATGTGCAGAAAGTGCACATGAATATGTATCTGCCTGCCTGCCTATTTATCTATCTAGGTATCATTTTAGCACTACAGAAAGATGAAACCAATCTTGTTGGGAAGCAAAATTTCCTCGCCCCTTGCATATTCTTTGAAATATGGAAATTAGGTCCCATTTATGGTAGAGTATGGGAAAGAAGCTATAAATCTTCCTCTCAATCCAGTTTCCAACCTTTTTTACCTTCTTCACACTTGATACGAAGCGAAGAACTATATTTTTAAAATAACATTATATGCATTTTAAAAAATAATGTCTACTTACAAATGATCTGCTTCGTCGACATCCAAATGTTTTTCTTTACCATTTGGTATACTGTGATCAATAACTATGGTTTCAGTGTTGGCTAAACAAAATCCATTTGATCTCATAATTTCTATGGAGAGAGGAAAAGACAAGATACCAAGAATAAGAACTAATTCCAGAAATGTGTTGTCAAAGGCTTTCATGGTCAGAATCACAGGGTTGCTGTGAGTTTTCCAGGCTGTATGGCCATGTTCCAGAAACATTCTCTCCTGACATTTTGCTCACATCTATGGTAAGCATCCTTGGAGGTTGTGAGGTTGTTGGAAACTAGGCAAGTGAGGTTTATATGTATTTCTTCCACCCTGGACACATATGCCGGCCACATGACCTTGGAGGTGTCTACAGACAATGCCAAGTCTTTGGCTTAGAAATGGAGATGAGAATCAACCTCCAGAGTCAAACACGACTGGACTTAATGTCAGGGGAAAACCTTTACCTTTACCTTAAACAAACTATAACACTATATATGTGTTTGTGCAAACTGGCCTGTGTAAGACAGCAATCCATAATAGCCATTGGCTACTTAGATATCTCTGTAGCTATAAGTAGCCTTTCTAGTTTGCATCCTCCTGGGCAGTGCATTTTAAGAAAAATACTAAGAAGCTAGAATGTGTTCAGAGGAGAGGAAAATAAGTAAGGTTGGTATCAGGAAAACTTTGTGGAGAATGACTGAAGAAACCGAATATGTGTAACTTGCCTAGTTTCCAACAGAAGTGGGGTCATAACAGCATTCTCAAGTATCAGGAGGTCTCCTACATGGGGAAATCTACTTACAGTTCAAACTAAAACAGATTTCTAGAATTGCTACCTGAATGTTACATCAACAGGATATAGAAAACTTTGGTTACTTGATTCACACAATAAAACTTTCAGTTATGTCCTCTCTGACAGACATAATGAGAGCCGTTGCACATTTATAATTCTAAACTCACATTTCAGAATTTTTGTGTGAAAATAAAGTATTTTTGTGTGAAAATAAAGTATTTTTGTGTGAAAATAAAGTATTTTATTTTATTCACAAATGTTTTTCACACAAAATACTCTTTTGCCCAGACAAAAACATATTTTGCACAAAACACTTTTTTTCTGCACTCAAATGCATTTTTTGCAAAATATTGTTGCATAAAATTCACTTGTGCAGAGAGAAAAAAGTCCACAGCTACTTTTTAAAAAGGTAAAGACATCCTTTCTTCTTGAAAATGAGAAAAATTGCTAAGATTTTTATACCTTTAAATTGAATTTCCACATTAATTCATTCAACAGGCCTACTTAGTTGGAAAAAGATTTGGATTTAGGCCTAGTTACAGTGGTTCTCAACCTGTGGGTCCCCAGATGTTCTGGCCTTCAACTTCCCGAAATCCTAGAAGCTGGTAAACTGGCTGGGATTTCTGGGTGTTGTAGGCCAAAACACCTGAGGACTCACAAGTTGAGAACCACTGGCCTAGTAGAAAGCACTTGATGGTAAGAACCGTAGGGGAAGAGTGGGTTTTCCCTGGCTAGAAACCTTCAAGGAGAAGTTGGACAGCCATCTGTTGCAGAAGCTTGAGCTCCGAGTTTTAGGCCTCTTCCACACAGCAGAATAAAATTTCACATTATCTGCTTTGAACTGGAATATAGGGCAGAGTGGATTCAGATAACCCAGTTCAAAGCAGGTATTATGGGATTTTCTGTCTTGATATTCTGGGTTATATGGCTATGTGGAAGGGCCCCCAGGCATCAAGCATGGAACTACTCATAGATGTGACCACCGCCAATAGTATGTTTCTTTGAGTCTATCAACATGGTTCCTTCATACAGAAACCTTCAAGAAAGAGTCATGGACCCTATCTTCACTGCCATATAATGCAGTTTGAAACTGAATTATATGGCAATGTGGATGGGGCCTTAAACTTCTCAGTATTCAATTAGTTTAGGAGATAAACGCTTTCTTTCCTTGAACTTGCTTATCAGAAACAGTAAAAGGAGTAAAAATTCTTGCAAAGAAGGAAAAAAGGAAGAAAAACTTTTGGATCTTACATCTCAGGATTTTTAAAAAAATAATGACAGCCTTTCTCTATGTGGTGCAGCATTTCAAACACTTTAATCTATGAACCCCTAAGATTTTGTTCACAACCAACCTGACTATGAAAGATAAAATGAAACCTTCTCCTATTGATGGCTTTAAACATATTCTCAGGTTCTTCACAGAGATATAAAACTGCAGCAGGAGAAAGCTGCTCTTTTGTTCATTCTGAATGTATCGCTAGTCTCACATGAGATCTCTGCCTCTTTCCCTTCTTTTTTCCCTATCGGTTTGTGCACTAAAAGTATGACTCATCTTCTGCAGTCAAAGTTTACACTGAAGGGAAAAAGGAATTACACTCAAGACGCAAGCTTGTTTCCACTGGGTAAAGTCTTGATTTTTCTTTCATCCTTTGCAATTTGGAGAAGGACTGTTTGGGAAGTAGACTTTTCTTTAGTGAACACAAAACAATTCCACTTTTCCAATCTACTTCTAACAATGCAAGTAACAAACAAAAGAGGAGCAGATCTAGTGTGGAATCTGAACAGAATACTAATTTTCTTTATGGCCTCAACCTTCTCTTCTCTGGGCTTAAAAATATCCAGAGCAGTTTTTAAAAATGTGGTTTAGTCTAGCACCAGTTTTGTACTGAGCAGCCTACAGAGTCTAAAGGGGAAACACGCCCCCCCCCCCAATCCCGGGGCTGACAAATCTACCGCTGTTATAAATATGGAAAGAATATCCATATAATAATTGCTATAAGAGAGTGGGGAAAAAAGAAGTAACTAATGAGTAGATTGGGAATTAAAAGAGACAATGAGTAAAAGGACAAAAAGTACTGTTCATGGTAGGAATGTGTCAAAGGGGAATTTACAGTGTTCAGGTCTAACTCAATGTTATGTAAATATTTCTATACAAGCTGTCCAGATTGGCATGTGTGGTCCTCTTTGTGAAGCTAGATGGATGAATGTGAAGTGAGGAGACCACATATCAGACCAAATATGTTTTCCCACCAGCATTATAGAATGGAGGATATCATCTGCCAATTATCTGAGTTGTTCCTGCAGAATTCTGGGAAATGTAGTTCAGGATGGAGGCTATGGAATTCTCAGCTAAAGAGGTCACTGGCTTCTTTAAACTACATTTCCCAGAATTCTATATGAGCAGATTGGATGATAAGGAGCCCTTGGTGGTGCAGTAAGTTAAACCACTGAGCTGCTGAGCTTGCTGATTGAAAGGTGGCAGGTTCAAATCCGAGGAGTGGCGTGAGCTCCTGTTGTTAGCCCCAGCTTATTTCGGACATTTGTATCCCGTCCTATCTCGACCTCCACAGAGGGACTCAGGGCGGCTAACCTCTGCTAACCTAGCAGTTTGAAAACATGCAAATGTGAGTAGATCAATAGGTACCGCTCTGTCAGGAAGGTAGCGGCACTTCATGCAGTCATGCTGGCCACATGACCTTGGAGGTATCTGTGGACAATGCCGGCTCTTCGGCTTAGAAATAAGAGATGAGCACCAACCTCCAGAGTAGGACACGAACTGACTCTGTCAGGGGAAAATCAACCTAGCAGACAATATCTTCTGTTCTATAATGCTGGTGGGAAAAGTCCCAGTTGAAGTGAACGGAATTGAAGCTAAATGTGACTAATAAGTCTGGCCTCTCTTTAATGGATCTGCTTCAAGAAGGACTAGAATTGGAGTTAGCCTGTTACAGGCTAACTGAAGCCCAGGTCAAGAATACCACTTGAGCTAAGGTGCAAACTGTAACATTCTCACCCAGTCTACAGTACATTCGCATTCAATATGGAAATATAAAGACCACACTGAGCAGACAATGGCTCCTCCATAGACTGGAGGTGTCTCTCAGAGGATTCCTATCTGGCCCCTGGGTGACCTCCATTCACCCCAAGCCCTCCTCCTGGTTTCCACACTGGCTATTGGTGGGATGTGTATTTGTTTTCCTTTACAAACAACAGAGAAGAGTGAAAAATTGTAAGCACTGGGACTTGATTAATATTCATACCCAAGAATGAGAGTAGAGGAGGCACTTTACCTCTTTGCATTTCACTATTGTCCCAAATCAGACTGAACATCCATTCAAATGGAAGGGGGTCTTCTGTGATTTAGTAATGGAAATTGAAAAACTAGAGAGCTCTGAAATGGACTGGAACTATAATGGAAGGAGGCAAATGGTTAAAGGTTTACAATCTCAATCAGCCCCACAAGTTGGCTGCTTGCCCTAGAGGAAATATTTTCCCCTAGAATAAATGGAAGTTTTCCTCCACCAATGGACAGGTATGCATGTGTCTGCTTCTGGTTTTGTTTTTGTTTTCATGTCAGGAGAGAGTTGAGAAACTGCAAGTTGCTTCAGGTGTGAGAGAATTGACCGTCTTTAAGGACGTTGCCCGGGGACACCCGGATGTTTTGATGTGTTACTACCCTTGTGGGAGGCTTCTCTCATGTCCCTACATGAGGAGCTGGAGCTGATAGAGGGAGCTCATCCGTGCTCTCCCCAGATTCGAACCTGCGACCTGTCGGTCTTCAGTCCTGCCGGCACAGGGGTTTAACCCACTGCGCCACCGGGGGCTCCTTGCTTCTGGGTGAACATGTCTATATTTTAAATAGAATAAATAAATGAATAGGATATGCTTGAGTGTGAATGGATTGGGGCTGGTGTGTGTGGCCATGTGAAAACATAGAGTGGTCACACTTTTGACTCCAGCCCCAACCATCTTTAGCATGTGGTTTCCATGTGGAAAGTGGCTGAAGGATATTGGGTGAAGATATTAGGCAGTAATTCATTAAATTAAGGAGGAGTTGCTAGAGATGGGTAGAATAATTGCCACATTATCACAACATGTCAGTTCACTTTGTGACCAGACTGTTCATTTGTTCCATAACACTAGCACAAAAATGACAGTTATCTCTCTAATCACCTAATGTCATGTGCCAATCTAGTTTCAAAGACTATGAGATGTTTGTGTGAAACAATGAAGTGATTTTAGGACATAAAATCATTGGAGAAGCCTTAAGAAAAAGGAGTGAAATGACTGAAAGGAACTTTCTTTCAAACTATAGAGGTGGTGTACTAGGAAAAATAGTTAACTAGCATGGTTTTTTACTAGAACAAGGTAATAATTCTTACCTGATATTTTAACTGGACTTTGAAAACTTGGCTGAATTTTATGAACGTTGTCATTTTTCAACACTTGGTCTAAAGGAGATCTTTCAAAAAAGGTGAGGACAACTTCAGATCGAGAATACTAGAAAAAATAATAATACAAGAACTCAGGGTGGAGCACAACATATATACGGCAAACATTCAGTGCTGGGACATAAAACCATTCATTTACACAAACATTAAAATCACGTATATCCACTTTAAAATCAGTTGCTTAAAAACCATCTCAGGACATAAAATATGGACAAACTGCATGTATCTTATCCTAAGCATTTACTTAGTGCTTCTATCAGCTCCAGCTCCCCATGCGGAGACGCGAGAGAAGCCTCCCACAAGGATGGTAACACATCAAAAACATCCGGGTGTCCCCTGGGCAACGTCCAATTCTCTCACACCAGAAGCGACAGTTTTTCAAGTCGCTTCTACACAGCGAAAAAAACAAACTTAATGAATAATGGAGCAAGTCCAATGACTGAGCTTACAAGTCTTAAGACCAACAAAACACAACAGCAGTTCCATGCATTAAGAGATGGAATTGCCCCAGTCATGGAAAACAAGGAATGTCCAAATGTTGCTGAACCGTAACTCTCCTCATCTCACAACATTAGGAATGTTGTTAAGAATGATATCAGTTGCCGTTCAAACACATCTGGAATGAGACATGTTTACACTCCTGAGAAAGACACATTCCTCACTTCTGAGAAAGGAAGGAAGGAAGGAAGGAAGGAAGGAAGGAAGGAAGGAAGGAAGGAAGGAAGGAAGGAAGGAAGGAAGGGAAAGAAAATTTGATTTTATTAGCAAATGCAGCAAAGAGGTGAAGATAATCTGTATCCACAATTGACCTCCTTCCACTTCATCACACTAGAGAATGAATCCACTTTAAATCTGCTTTTTCCCTCCTGCAGTATTCTGGGGTTTGTAGTTTAGTGAGGATGTTAAAGTCTGCTCCCTAAACTACAAACCCTAGAATTCAGCAGGAGGCAGAAACCGGATTTAAAGTGGATTAATTCTCTAGTGTGATGAGGTCTGTTCTTGTTGCTTATTTTTCTAAACCCTTTTCTCCCAATTGAGCATGGTACCTCCATGATGAAGGGAATGTTTTGGGAAATATAGAGGTATACTATCCGTGCTGGGTACTGATGTTTTTGTTCTCCATACTTTTCAATAAATCAAAATTTCCCAGAGTTGTAAACATTACTTTTTGGGCTATAACTCCCTGAATCGTCTAAGCTCTGAGAATTGTAGGCTAAGAAGATGTTTTTCCAAGCTTTGCTTAACCCCATCTTTTTCACATCACTGGAACAGGGTTTTTTGCTTGCTTGCTTGCTTCACAGCAGTAACTGCTGTCCTTGTGTTTGGTTGGTCTTGAGACTACAGATCAATTTATAAACCTGGCTGGTGCTCTAGTAAATAAATACTTAAGATGAAACACAGCAACAGTCTCTGCATTGCAAATCACATTGATTGGCTTGTGCTGCAGACAAATTAGTCTACTGCTTCAGACAGAAACTGTATGGTGCAAATGTTTGATTCCAGACCAAACATGAGCTGTGAGTCATGTTGAGCACATACATTCTGCTTCATTCTCAGCATTATTCTGACAGTTCTACTTTCTGTCAGAAGTCCATTTGGACGGGACATAACCAATACTTTTCCCATTGTTTCAAACATTTAGTAAACATTAGAATGCCACTACCATGCCCCATTTTATTCACAGTTGAATCACATTGGCAAGGCAGGCTTTGCCCAATATATTTTGCTACAGCAAATGCCACTATTACCCTCTCAAGAATGTAAAGGCGCATAATACACAAGACCAGCCAGATTTAATGGAGGCTGATGGATTTCAGAACAACGGGATGTGGTATCCACTCTAATTGTAGTCTGAATGTTAATGGAAGTATCCAATCTCTAAACTATGAAATCCTAGAACCCAAATGGGTTTAGTACCCTAATAAATGCCTCTTTTATTATTCAAACTAAAACACAGAGTAGAGTCTCTGATTTGCTATGTGGTGGCCACCAGGGACCACTGGTCTAAGTATTTTGGCACCTAAGGCTAAAAGATTGCCATAGAAGGACCTCTACCGCTTCATAAAAACAAAAATACAGTTGCAATAAACTAAATATCTGAATGCTTGAAACAGCTCCCTTACTCTGTCCAACAGAATAACTGGCTCAATAGTTACTTCACAGAGAATCGGGCCCCTTCTACACTGCCATATAATACAGATTATCAAAGCAGATAATCTACATTATCTGCTTTGAACTGGATTATATGAGTTTACCCTGCCATATAATCCAGTTCAAAGCAGATAATCTGGATTTTATGTGGCAGTATATATAAAAGGGGCCTCAAACGCTACTTTGGTGTCTTTGTTGTTTATCTTCTTTTACAAGAGAAGCAAGCAAGGCTATATAGCACCTCTTTATTCAGAGGTAGTTACTACTGTGTTCAGTGAGCATGCCCAAAAGTATATATGCATAATGTGCTTTAGTTCTCCCAGTCCAGAGCTGTGCATGTTTTTCCTCTGTATTGTAATGTCCCCACACATTTTTTTTCTTCCTTTTGCATTACCAAGCAAAATAAACAAGGATATAGAGCACCCCTTTACTCACACATAGTGACTACTGTGGTTAATGGGCTTACTCTAAAACTTATATGTGCACAGCTAGGCTTAGTTCTCCCAATCCTTCTCTGTGTTGCAATGGTATGCTGGATAACAATGTTATCAGGAAGTTGGAACTTCAAAACATCCAAAAGGTTTACAAGGAATAGTTACTCCAAGCATAATTTGAAAAGGTTAACGTTTTGGATTTCTAATTTATAAATACTTCAGCTGGTTTGAGGGTGTTCTGGAATGGGAGTCCAAACATCTGTAATATAACATACCAAAAGAGAGAGAGAGAGGCGCTACTAGCATTATTTCCGTATTCAATTATATAATTCCTTACTTGCCATGCTAATTATGGAATTGTGGAGTTGTAGTCCCAAAATTAATATTTACAAATATCTTGGAAAAATACACTAAGCATGAATGAACGTATATTCCTACAGAACTGGATATTTCTGGCCTTGTAAAGGATGAAGATATTTTTGTCTAACGGTGCCTCCTACAGGTACAATAGGGACATTCACATAGTAATCCAGATATTTTATTTCTAAACTAGGTGTGATTCAGCTTCTCTTCACAAAGAGATGCTTTTACAAACAGCAGAAATACTCTTGAAATACAAAAATAAATAGGTGGAGGTATTTGTGGCTGCAATTCTCTGCTGGGAATATACCTCATTAAACCCACCAAGACTTGAGACAAGTAGAGCTTGTAAAACATTTTGACTACAACCCCTAGAAAAGCCTAGCCAATATGGCAACTGGCCATGTTATTCAGGGGGGTTCTGGGAACCACATTCCAAAAAGTATCCCTTGCCCATCTGCAAGAGAAAAAAAAAACCTTGGGGACCAAGCTACACATTGGGCTTAGTGTACAGAGGGAAACTTCACTTTATGATTCTCTTTTTAGTAATTAGATACAGGAATGATACATAGAAGGGCATCCCTTCAGGCCCAGCTTTTGTATACCAAATATATTTTTATGCTGATCACATAAATAACTTCAAAATTGTCACATCACATAAAGATTTTGAGAAATGTCCAATTTGTTTTACAATTATTGCAAAATTTTGAAATATTTTCTTGTTTATGATTGCATGATAATTTTGATTGCTCATATCTTTTGACAGCCATAACCAACATTACACAACAAATAACAGAGACTCGGTCTGTTAAAATACCACAAGAATATATTTCTGATCATGTAAAGACTTGCTCGGGCATCCCAGACACTAGATACTCTCAACCTGTCCCCAGGTGTTTTGGCCTACAACTCCCAGAAAACCCAGCCAGTTTGCTAGCTGTTAGGATTTCTGGGAGTTGAAGGCCAAAACATCTGGGGACCCACAGGTTGAGAACCACTGCACTAGAGGAGGAGGAGGTAGGCAATGATGGCAATCAGATGCAGGTTGAAGCTGATGCTGATCCTGACTTTGTGCCATCAACATCCAGCGATCCTCATTTAATATCTCAGGTAGAGCTGAATGATCTGGTCAGAGATTTGGGTTTATCAAAGAGTTGGGCAGAGCTACTTGGATCAAGGCTGCAAGGATGGAATCTTCTGTAATCCGGCACAAAAATCTCAAAATTTCTCTACCATGATTAAGGATTGACAAAATATTTTAGCTAAGCTGACATACTGACTTTTTGTTGTAACATTAATGGATTGTTTTGTCCTCTCAGATGCAACCCCAACCCAACAGAATGGTGATTGATTATTGACTCATCATTCATAGAATCATAGAATAGAGTTGGAAGAGATGGCCACATGGGCCATCTAGTCAAACCTCCTGCAATGCAAAAAACAAAAAAACAAACAAACAAAAACAAAACACACACACACACACACAAAGTACTCCTGACAGATTCTTAAGTTTGAAGGCTGTTTTGCTGCACAGCGGCAATATTGACCCTTCTATACCTATCAGACATGCCGTCCATATGAAAGAATCATATGAAAACATGCAACTTTTACTGAATGGTCTTCAATACTCAAAACACAACTGGAATTTGTGTGGTGATCTTAAGGTAGTTATAATTCTACTGGGTCTGCAGCTTGGTTACATGAAGTATTGCTGTTTCATTTGTGGGTGGGACAGTCAAGCAAGAGGTTTGCATTATATCAGAAAAGATAGGCCTCCCTGCAATAAATTGGTTCTAGGGCAGAATAATGTTGCACATGACCCACTGGTTGATCCAAAGAAGATATTTCTTCCACCTTTACACATCAAACTTGGGTCAAACTTTCAATAACACTTTTCTATATTCATTATGGCAATGAACGAGCAAAACAAAGCCTTAATTTTTTTGTGACAGATGTTTCTATGCATTAGTGATGCAAAGATAAAAGAAGGTGTTTTCATTGGCTGACAAGTCTGAGATGTGATGAAGAATAGCCACTTAAATGGTCTTCTACAAGATGCAGAACATGTTATGTGAACAGCCATCAAGAATGTTATTTGTAACTTTCTAGGCAACTATAAAGCACCAGATTATGCCCAACAGGTTGAAAGTCTGCTTCAGGCATATAAATCAATGAAGTGCAACATGTCACTGAAGATACATTTTCTTCATTTCCACTTGTACTTCTTTCTACACAACCTGGGCTCTGTGAGTGATGAACATGGTGAAAGGTTTCATCAGGATATTGCCAAGATGGAGAAACAGTATCAGGGCAAGTGGAATCAGTCCATGTTGGGTGACCATTGTTGGACTCTTATCCACAAAGCATTGGAGAGTGATTACAAAAGAAAATCTGCAGCAAAACATTTTTAGTTTTGTTCCCTGATGACACTATTATTGTCATAGTGTATGCTGCTATAGACATAGAGCAGGGATCCTCAAACTTTTTAAACAGAGGGCCAGGTCACAGTCCCTCAAACTGTTGGAGGGCCGGATTATAATTTGAAAAAAAAATGAACAAATTCCTATGCACACTGCACATATCTTATTTGTAGTGCAAAAAACACTTAAAAACAATACAATAATTAAAATGAAGAACAATTTAAACAAATATAAACTTATTAGTATTTCAATGGGAAGTGTGGGCCTGCTTTTGGCTGATGTGATAGGATTTTTGTTGTGTGCTTTCAAGTAATTTCAGACTTAGGTTGACCCTGAGCAAGGGCCGGGTAAATGACCTTGGAGGGCCGTATCTGGCCCCCGGGCCTTTTGAGGACCCCTGACATAGAGCAATGATCATTCACAGCAAACCATATAGAAATGCTTAGGATGTATTGCCTTTTTCTGGAAAACTGTACATACTTGTGTTCAGCGTGTTAAAATCTACTTGGTTCACCTAAAATTGTGTGGGAAACAAAACCTTCCCAAAAAATTGTTGACCAGTGTTATTTGAGATTTTAAAAAAATTAGAAAAAATATGGTTTTCTACTTTCACATGTGGTCTGCCACATCTAACCCCAGTGAATGTGAAATTCTGGCTGTTAACATGCAGCATGCCCTTTGCCTTTCATCAGGTATGCATGGAATTGTGCTATGAGAGACAGCGCAGTTTAATAGGCTGCCACATAGACAGATGATTTGGGTAATAAATTAAAAGACAAGATGAAAAGACACATCTGGAGATCACCATGATACAGAAGGCTGGTAAAGATGCCAGAAGCTTGCTTAGCTGCTACTCATTGGGTCAATGCAGTGGTGCCTTGTACTTGTTGTATTTTGTATATAGCACTATGGTTCCAAAAACACTACAAAGAGAAGCCCAATCTACTTTATTCAGAAGAGCATCTCCCTCAGGGGCCATCACACTTCAGTTTTATTGATTTTGTGTCAAAAGCATTGCATAAAATAGTTTATCTAAAACTGATATAGTTTAAAACTGATAAAATAAAGGAATCACAAGCTGCTAGATAGTTTTAGACCAAAATGGGCAACAGCGACTGCATTGTCTGTAGCTTTAAACAATTCTTCCTCTGTGCATGAGGCAGGCCATTGTGGGCAAGCATACAGGTGTGGAGTTGTTTGTTCTGTGCCAGTCGCACAAGGTGGGGGATACTTCTAGGTAGTACCATTTTGCCAGGTTGTCTTTTGATCTGCTAACTCCACTTCTGAGTCTGTACTTCACACTGCAGTTATAGTAAAATGATTCCACTTTAACTGTCATGCTTCTGATCCTATTTGGAATTTTGGAAGGGACATTTAGAATTCGGTTACAAACCCAGAGATTCTGTGTGTAAATGATTTTTATTCAAACATACAAACTAAAAATACTTGTAAAACACAAAAACGCAAAAAAATTAAAACTACCATTAAAAATGTTCATTATATACAAAAGTAACACACCTTTCTCTACAACATACATCTTGTACACATTCTAAACAAATGTCTATGAAACTAATCTATATCTTCCACTTGGTGCCTGTTGATTTTAGCTTATTTGTTGGTCTGTTAAAGTATCACTTTATTTCTACCTTTCTACTTTCAATAACATTTTCTATATCAGAAAACCAATGGTTGGCGATTGTCCCCATCTTTGCTGTATAAAAGTAATAAATATCTCTCAATCTTTCTTGAATTTAGTCAAGGATTTCTCCGTAATCAACATGGTCAATTTATCCATCTCTGCTAATTCACATATTTTCATCAGCCAATCTTATTGCATCAATATATCTTATTCTTTTCATTCCTGAGCATAGATGATTCTCGCTGCTGTAATCATATATAAAAACCCAGAGATTCCATAAGATGCAGACATGGCAATTAAAGTGGAATTATAGCACTATAATTGTGCAGTGCGGAAACATCTAGATTCAGGTACAAGTATGGCTTGCCCTTACTCTGGCCTGACAATTCAATTATTAAGAGTAAACTAGAGGATTGTTTTTCTTCTCCACCAGTGACTCAGTCATCCTGCTTGCAAACGGACCAAAGAACAGCTAGAAAACTTATGGAAGAACTGTACTTTCACTAATGCCTGTTATCTACTCTACTTACCTTCCAAGGCATATTTATAATATTCTTAAGCAGCTTCTCTACTTCATTAAGCCTGGCTTCTATGTCGTGAGATTCTTTGATTGTGATAAGTCCTGTAAATAAAGAAAAATAACAATGATTGTTAAAATTATTGTGGGCAGAGAGGAAACAGCATATGGACTCAAGTACTTTATTTTACAGTAAGCATTTGCTGTCTGCTTGGGTATGATTTCAGGACTTGCCATGGATTGAAAAATTCATGGATGCTCAAGTCCCATTATTAAATGGCGTATTAAACGGTGTCTTATATAAAATGACAAAATAATTTGGATTTAAAAAAATTTCAAGCAGTGGATGGTTGAATTCATGGACACAGAATCCGTGGATTCCAGAGGTCAACTGTATTTTATTTTTTACGTTTACATTGAGATTTAATATTGATTGTCTCCTGAGGACTTCAGTGTGAATAAAAAGTGATCTGACGGATTTAAAAACAACAACATGTCTTGTGCCATCTTAAAGGCTACCGCAAAAATTACTAAGGTAAAAAACATTTCTCAACTACAGACATTCCATTAGATGCCATGAATAAGTGATGTCCATATCCCTTAATCCTCTCCAAATTTATCTAATCTGGCCTGCTTGAAAGCACAAAGCAGGTTTATGGAAGAAGATTTTGGCTTGTAAAATTGTACCTTGTGGGCCCTCTGAGTGCAAAGTCTATCACTGGCCAACAGCTGTGGAGATCATGTCAGTGTGGCAGTGAAATCATTCCAGGGTTTTGTTAAGGGAGCTATCCAAGGTCGCAAACCCCTCTCCCCCAAATGATAGATTCTTTGGTAGTTCCCTTAAACTTCAGACTATGGAACTAGTTGACTAACCACCACAATGTCCTCTTCTGACCAAGAGGCTGATATACATTATGAACTCTATAGCAAAAGACTTTAGGTCACATTTAACATCCTCTACCTAGTTGTATATGTATAACTAAGAAGCATGCCTCATTTCAACAGTACAGTGTTCCCTCGCTACTTCACAATTCGCTTTTAGTGTACTCGCTGTTTAGTGGGTTTTTGAAAATATTAATAAAAACATAAAATATTAAATATTTATGTCCAGTGGAGGCTAGGGAGGCCAGGGACTCCGGAAGTGAGGTGGCCTGAGGAACGGCAGGTAGGGACTGCCTCCCTGGCCTCAACAGACCCTGAAAGTGTGGCAGCCTACAGTAGGGAAGGACTGCCACCCTGGCCTCAACAGACCCTGAAAGTGTGGCAGCCTACAGTAGGGAAGGACTGCCTCCCTGGCCTCAACAGACCCTGAAAGTGTGGCAGCCTACAGTAGGGAAGGACTGCCTCCCTGGCCTGCTGTGCCTCCGTGGCTCTGGAGGCTCTGTGGAGGCCAGGGAGGCAGACAGGTACTCTTGGGATGGGCCAGGAGGTGGGTAAGGAAGCACAGGTAAGAAAATAATATATAAAATATATAAAATAATGTATAAATATTAAAATTAATATGGTGTCCCTACTTCGCAGATTTTTACTTACCGCGGGTGGTCCTGGAACAGAGCCCCCACGATAAGTGAGGGAACACTGTATTTTTTCTTGAACACCTCCCCTTATCCCTTTCATAAATTATAGTGTGGTTTCATGTGTCTAGATCAGGCATGGGTAAACTTTGGCTCTTCAGGTGTTTTGGACTTCAAGTCCCACAATTCCAAACAGCTGTTAGGAATTGTTGGAGTTGAAATCTAAAACACCTGGAGAGCCACAGTTTGCCCATGCCTGGTCTAGATGCTTATATAGCAAAAAAGGATTGTGACTACTATAGAAATTATCTGAGGGGTATAAGATAGTTCTTTGATTATTGAGGGCCACATAACTAAAATCTGTGCCAACGCGGGTTAAAATAACCCACTTTGGTGTGGGTTCTAATCTATGTCAACTCACCCAAACCTGGGCTTTCTTGCGGGTGGTGGCATGAAGCCACCCCAAAGCCCCCCATTTCCACCTAAAACTTACTAAAAAGGGTCCCTAGCAGCCATGAAGCTTCTCTTCTCATCCTCCTGGTGTGAAAAAATGATGCTTAATGAGATGGGAGGGGTGAAGAAGAAAATCCTCCCCCCCCCCCATCTTTTCAGGCATAATTTTCTCCTGACAGGACATGGGGAGAAGCTTCATGGGTGCCAGGGACCTTTTAAAGTAAGTTTTAGGGGGTAAATCAGGGGCTGAGGAGAGGGAGTGGGTGCCCTCCCATGCAGAATGGCTATGGAGATTGACACGTTCCAGGAGTCAGTATCCACAGGCCCAATACCTTATTAGACCCGAGCCTTTCAGGAAGGCAGGGATCTAATGAGGTATTTAATTAGTTTTTTGTTTTTACCAGAGACAGGTCCCGCATTTTGGGTCTGTCTGGATGGGCCCTGAAAGTCGATTTCTTGAGACTCCAGACAAACCATGCCTGTGCAGCCCCTCTATGACCCTGTCCTTTGTCAACTTCCCCAATACAAAATCATTTAGATGTTGTGGGCAACACATCCCACTGTCTCAGCCAGCAATGTCAATAACTATGCAAGCTGTGGACAATGGCTAGTTTCTTTAAAGTTCATACTAAAATTCGGAGTAGATTCACCATTCACACTACTACCACTGCTGGCAAGAGTTGCTGTTGTTGTCCAGGCCACAAAGGGGTGAGAAAGGCTGCTCTGCTTTGGAAATTTGCTTTCTGTATATGCATTTGTCATCTACTTAATATTTATCTGTTGACCTTATTTGATACACTCTAATGCATGCAAAACATACATTTTTTGTTGCTAATATTAATATGTATTAACTTTATATTAACTTTAGAAAAAAATATGCAAACATGTTTTTGCATCCAAGCATGAGAGCAAGCAAGAGAAATCCATTCCATGACATAGAGAAAAACATCCAGCAGGGAGTGCTAGAGATCCATATATTATCCAAGATTCCCTCAAATGTATTAAGTTCCAATCGATCTTGTACATGTTCTAACACTACAATCCTGTTACTGACTCAGAAGTAAATCTCATAATTTTCAGGAATTGCGGCCAGATAAAACATGTTCAGAAGTGCAAAATAACAGTGTGATGTGTACTCAGAAGCATGTCTACACAAAAATTAAGTTGTATGGTTTTTGATTACATTTATGCCCAGAATATATACGTTTTACAACCTAGAGTGTCTTCTGAAATGTACAGTTTTAGTATTTTGTTCACACTTTAATTGACATAGCTACATCATATGGAATGCTGAGATTTTGTAATTAAGCACTAGAGCTCTCTGACAAAGAATTGCAATTATTTATTTATTTATATTTTTATTTGCTATACTTGTATACCGCTGTTTCTCAGCCTAGCCGGCGACTCAACGCGGTTTACAACAACTTATAACAAACAACAGTATACAGTTTAAAAATAAAAACATAGTGCACAATACATATATCAACAAACAATCCAATTAATCTCCTGACTAAAATCGTGATCCAGTTTCGTCGTCCATATTGCCAGTCCTTTAGTCATTACATTCCTTGCACTGAGTTAACCAAATGCCTGCTCGAACATCCAGGTTTTTAATCTTCTTTGGAATACCATCAATGAGGGGGCTGATCTTACCTCCATGGGAAGGGTGTTCCATAGCCGAGGGGCCACCACAGAAAAGGCCCTGTCTCTCGTCCCCGCCAGCCGCACCTGTGAAGCAGGCGGGATAGAGAGCAGGGCCTCCCCAGAAGATCTTAGGGTCCTGGCGGGCTGATAGGCAGAGATACGTTCGGATAGGTAGCTTGGGCCAGAACCGTTTAGGGCTTTAAAGGCCAACGCCAGCACTTTGAATTGAGCCCGGTAGCAAATCGGCAGCCAGTGGAGCTGGTGCAGCAGAGGAGTTGTATGCTCCCTGCGCTCCGCTCCTGTTAGTATCATGGCTGCCGAGCGTTGGACTAATTGGAGCTTCCGGGCCGTCTTCAAAGGCAACCCCACGTAGAGAGCGTTGCAGTAGTCTAAACGGGATGTAACCAGAGCGTGGACTACCGTGGCCAAGTCAGACTTCCCAAGGTACGGGCGCAGTTGGCGCACAAGTTTTAACTGTGCGAATGCTCCCCTGGTCACCGCCGAAACCTGGGGTTCCAGGCTCAACGATGAGTCCAGGATCACACCCAAACTGCGAACCTGCGTCTTCAGGGGGAGTGCGACCCCATCCAACACAGGCTGTAACCCTATACCCTGTTCGGCCTTACGACTGACCAGGAGTACCTCTGTCTTGTCTCACCAATTATCTCACCAAACTAGAAATTCCAGGATTCCAAAGGAGGACACCTACAGCAATTAATGTGATATGAAAGTGTTATAATTCTGTAGTGCAAGAAGGATTTTGCATCTCACAGCAATCTGGAAAAAGACAATAATGTAACATGCAAGAAATGAGGATGTGAAATAATTTTGCAAAATTAAAGCTAATCTTATAATGAATGGCAGTCCGGAATAAACATATGAGGTATGAGGAAAGAAGAGTGACTTCAACAGCAAATGTCTTTGTATATAATGCTTAATTATAACACATTATTCTTTTCAGTACTATAGAATAAACTATTTTGAAAGCTTTTGGAGAAAATAAGCTAAGAGGAAATATCTCTGCCCTTAGAAGAGTACAATTTAAAATTTAACACTTCAGGAGAAAAATTAATAAAGGACCCTTCCACATAGCTGAATAAAATCCCACATTTTCTGCTTTGAACTGAGATATACGGCAGTGTGGACTCAGATAACCCAGTTCAAAGCAAATATTGTGGGATTTTCTGTCTTGATATTCTGGGTTATATGACTGTGTGGAAAGACCCAAACTATAAGGGAAAAAAGGAGAATGTGAATACAAACCAAGTATAACAGGGGAACACATATATGAAAAAAATGTAATAGGATTATCCCTCCACATTTGCTGTTCTGAATTTTGTGGATTTGATTATTCAAATGAGATGTAAATGAAATGAAGGCTTAAACAAGGACTAGGAAAACTTTGACTTTGTGGATGTTGCTGGATTTTAGTTCCAATTCCCATCAGCCTAAACAAGCTTAACCACTGTGGTGTTTATCCACTTCTTGAGAACA